GGTGTAGCACGTATTCCTGGCTCCTGTGTAAGTATTAACAAATGTGCTTTTGTCAAATGTTTTCACCTCTTTGAAAGATCCAATGGTCCTCTGATAAAATGTCACTCCCCGTTCCTTTAACCTAGAAAAAAACAAATGAAAGGAAAATACGCATTCTGCTGAAACCCTTACAGTTATTACTGAATTATCTTTAACAATTGTGCAATGTTTTATATACCCATTAGGGAATGAGTTGCAAAATTCTACATTAAACATTAAGATTTAATGTATTTTTGACTGCTGAATGCTAAAGTTAGATAGAAGATTGATTGTAATAATTAATATTTATTAACAAATGACTTACCTCTCCATGAGCCAAGGCAAATATTTCTTGCCTTCAATCATGAGTGCAGTGTTGAACCATCCACAACTGAAAATAAAACAAATGGGAAAGAAAGAAAATAAGAGTAGATGATATGTGCACTCATTCTTTTGATTCACTACCACCAGTATTTACCCTTGAGAGATAGCAGTGCAATTGATTTGTATCACACCTAGTTCTAACTTAATTGATGGAACATCATTATACTGGATACAGCCAGATGTTCATTAATGTCTATAGAAGGGCTGGCTCTTAAAGCGAACCACATGTTGTTTGGACATTTCACCTTTCAAGCATTTCAAAAGGGCTTTTCGGCTATCCACTGCTTAAGCCAAATTTCGATCAGCCAGATATAACTACAAATAAGGAGGAATTCATGGAATGCTTTAATTACAGGATAAATGTTATGCTACATGTTATTTTCTGTAGCAATGAAATGGACAAAAAGCACCTTTTGACTATCAGAAACACTACACAAGCATTACAAGAGAGCAGGACGCTTCAGGCCACAGTGGAAGAGACTGGCAACTGGGTGACTGTAGGCCGCAGTAGCAGGGAATGGCATCCTCTCCACACAGGGTTGTGTTAATGAATTAACAACTGTACAGGAAGCAGAAAACAACACACTATGTTATGTGCCACAACTGATAAAGAGGCCAATGTAAGCAGCAGTGTGCTGCAGGGATCCATTTTGGTCCTGGTTCTCTGTGCAAAGTGTACAGAGATCCATAGAGGTCGGAGAAACTCTCACGTACTGCGTGACTGCATCAAACTATGCATGAAAGGGATCTGGGAGTTTATGCAGATTCATTTATGCTCTCATCGAGACAATGTGGGGAAGCTGTAAAAAAGCTATCTGCATGCTAGGGCAGAAAGGAAAATAACGTGGAATTTAAATCAAGGGAAGTGAAGAACAACCTTTACAATGCACTAGTAAGATCTCACTATTGTGTTCAGTTTTGGTTCACACAAAAAGGGTACTATAGTGTTAGTAAGAGTTCAGAAAACAGCAAGAAGGATGATTCCTGATCACAGAGGATTGTCATATACAGTACGTACAGGTAGCAGACAGTAAATATTACAAGGCTAGAACAAAAGAAATTTAAAAGAGATTTGATCCAGGTATATGAATGCTTCTAAGCTATAGGTAGTATCAACAAAAGGGACTATTTTGTACTCAGTGAACCAAGGACTCGAGATCACTGTTGGAAAGTAAACAGTTATTAATTTAGAACAGAAAAGTAGAAACACTTCTTCACATGAAGATTTGAATGTATTTGGCACAGCGATGCCAGATACATAGCTGCCCAAACTCTGGACTTCAAGAAGAGGCTCGATTAAATTTTAGATTTGCTTAGCTACTAAACAACCACGAATGAATGACCTGAATGAGCATGAGCTGAATGACCTAATGTCCTTTGCACCTTGTTCTACTGTGATAGTTTTTCATTCTGTGTGAACTGAATCCCTTCGTCTATCCAATATGATAAATAGTTTAGTCCATGGCATGATATGCTAGATAAAGCATTTAATGTAAAAAATTAACATAGAAATGTAAAAATTCAGACACGATACGTGCCTCAGACTGTAAGAAGCACTTTTTTCCTTATCCGACATTGATACTAAAACAAACTGCAGGCTGAAAAGGAATGCAATTTATTGTGCAAAGCCTTCAACAATTTGAAGGCGATGGTTTCTGATGAGAGTCAGGTGTGACGTCTGGGATATACCTGTATCCAGGAAACATCTCCAGTTCCCGCTTGGTCAGGTGTCTGAATCCCAGCACAATGTCCTTCCAAAACGGTTCCTGCATGGAATGGAACACAGCATGAAAAAAACATTGACTCGTTCTTTGAAAGTTTCTTCCTTTAATATTTTTTAAAGCTTATTTCCATAACCTTAAAAGGGGTAATACCGAAGGGTTTGCTAAGAATGGTTTTAGCAGTTTCAAGAGAAGCTTCGAAACATGTCTTGGACATTCAGGAGCACTAGCTTAGACATTCAGCTTGAACATTCAGAAATGTGTCGGCCAGCATAAGTTCAGTTTTGGCTACTGGAAAAGGACAGCTGTTTCAGATGTGGCCCTCGGATGGTGTTGGTTTACTTGGGAAAGTCCTGCATGAAGAGCTGGGGGAGTAAAGACACTCACCTGGGCTGGCTCAGTCAAGAGGTTATATCCAGACTGGGTGAAAATTCCCATTTGAATTGAATCTGGTGAGTTCATGTAGGATAACATGTAATCAAATGTTTCCTTGTTCCACTTACTATAAGGAAAGAAAGGAACAAGAGGCAGTGTTAAACTTAAAAAAGGTAGACACTGAAGCATACTGTATATCAGCATCTCCCCGCCTGCATGCAATCATGGTTTATATCTACTTCTATCAAACAAAATGCATGTGTAACCTTATGTCACCACCATAATCCAAGATAGAAAACAGGAAATAAACACAGCAGACCTACATTTCTTGAGTGTTTCCTTCAATATAGAGATAGGGCTGCCACAGGCCTGCAGCTCCATCGCTGGTGGTGAGAGGGGTGTAGCGATCGGCATAGACCTCGATAGTCAGAGGGCTGACAGTGGAGTGATAGTGGTCGTAGATGCACTGGGCTGTGGAGAGCCCGATGACTCCTGCTCCTATTACAGCCACCCGCATGTCTAGGGAGAAAAAGACAGCAATGAGACGCAGGAAGATTTCACGGTCAGGCATGGGATACTTCATAACATCGAAAGCCATCCATCCACCCATCTTCTAACTGTTTCTTCCAGTTCGGGGTCGCTGGGGGACTGTAACGGGAGCCGGTCCTGACTCCCGTGAAGGGCGTAGTTTAGGACCCTGTGCAGACGGTATAATCCGGAGGTGACTGGAGAAGGGCTACAGGGGAAACACGGTGAGGAACGGAAGGGATGGCGAACAGGGGGCGGTACAAACAGTGCTCCAGGTGCAAGGGGAGAGCGCAGGCAAACTAGTCCAGAACAGTGCAAAGGGGAAATCGGGGCGCAGTCCGAAATCCAATACCAGGTATACCATCCAAGACGAGACACGAATAAAAGCAGGAGCAGGGTCAGGGACAGGAACAGGAACAAGGTGGTTAAAAAAGGAGTGACGAGGCTGGTCAGGACGCCGTTCAGAAGCCTACGCCCTCACGCCGCGGATGTAGGGCGACTTGATGCTGGGCGGGCCTCCCCTCCGTCTTCCAGTGCAGAGCCCTGAGCTTCAGAGGAACGAGGTTGAAATAACAGACGGAGAACGAGGGGCAGGTGAACGTCAACAGTGAAACTAAAATACAAAAGGGTCGGAGCGCCCCCTAGAGGAGGGATGACGATCGTGACAGGAACTGGAGCAAGCAGCAGGTGCAGGGCTCACCCTGGACGGGACACCAGTCCACTGCAGGGCTCACACATACTGTGCTCACTCCCAGGGCTAATTTTCCCATAAGCCAATTAACCTACTAGCGGTTTTTGGAACTCTGGGAAGAAACCCGAAGAAAAGCACCAAAGCCACCAACGTTTCCATTTCTGTTGCAAACCAGGTGTTCTGCCTTGTGGGAGACGAAGCTTGTTTGAAGTTTTTGCTGCTTTGCCCCTTTGCGAAATTCAACTTCACGAGCTGTTTCTGTCTGCACCTACAGTAAGAGCTGCACAAAAGCAATAAAAAGGGGGCAAAGGGAATTTCTGGGGACATGTGTAGAATAAGAACGTACTCTGCAAGCCAGGAAAAGTTTAATAAGGATTTACAATATCATCTTTGATTCCAAATCATAATACAGCATGGCCATCAAGTCATAAAAAGAGTACAGTCTGTACAGGTCAGAGGGGAGGGTGCTAGAAATGATTAATGAATGACAGAACCAAATCTTTTCATCAAAAGCACATAGCAGAGGAAATCTAAATAAAGTACATCCCCAATATTATTTTAAATGTTGTTCCCATGCAGCATGGTAGTTTTTAAATAAGCTCCTCATCAAAGCCAGACAAAACCCAGCCTGAGACGAGGAATGGGCTTTTTCCTTTACTTTCTTATCCCTTCAAATAGTCAGCATTTCCATTGAGTCTATTTAAACTTTCAACACTCTACTCTGTTGGTTCAGACACGCTGTATTCTTTAGTTTTTCTTTCTTTTGTGTCAAGTTTAATGTTACTACTACTGCTGCTGCTTTTATAATGAACACTGTTTTTCATAGGTAATCGGTATCTTATGAAGAATACTGTTTGCTAGTTTGCTTACAGCAATAGATCTCTGCACTATTTGTTAAAGAAATCTGAAATGAGCAAGTCTAGGAGTAAAACAGTGCTCTAATCATTCGATTTTAGGTGTGATTGTAACCCATAAACTCAATACTCAAAGAAAACACGGGTCTCTTTCAGTTCCTACTATTTATAACTAACACGTGACTTGACTAAAAAATAACGCCCACTACAAAGAGAAAAAAGAAAATGAAAGAAGTGCAGTATGTAGAAAAGTAGAAAATATACAAGTTTATACTTTGACCTTATTATGAAGGAAAGTGTTAATAAGATTATGTTCTCTTCGGTATCAACTTTGCCTATGAATTAACAGATTGCTGCGCTAATAGAATCAGGACCGAATCTGGCCATGTCTGTGTCTCGAGTTAGCAAATTACAGTCACGAGGAACACAACAGACGAAGAACAGACATTTCCTCAATACTAATTCACATATGCATCGTGCAAATCCAATCGAAATAAATATAAAAACAAGATTTTTTCCACCAACCTCAATGTTTTCTACCCCCTCCTTCTGAAGCTTCAGTAGTTCCTTTGCAGTATTCTACTTTACAGTATGTCTGCAATATTAACTTGTAACTGCGCGTCACAGAGTTAAAGGAAAATGTTATTACATTTAAAAACGGAGAAATGTAAGATTACTTTTAAAAAGTGCTTCCAGAATTGCTCCGCACCTTACAGGGTAGAGGAGGTCATCTAATTTATTTTCGCAGGCGTGTACCTGTTGGGTTTCATATTTCAAAAAAAGAACTTTGAACCGGTGATGTTTCATTCGGTTCCTTGTTTTTTTTTTCCTTCGTTCCCACTGTGCAGGAGAAAAAAAAAACACATTTTTATCAATTTGTTTATTTTTATACTAATGACGATGTCCTCGCGATAAGGATTTAAAAAACTGCTGCGATATTTTCACTGACTTCATCTCAAATGTTTAACACTTGGTGCTTTATCTCCCACGTTGAAAATGTATTCTGATCAAAACAGCCGTCTCATAGGCAATCGGCTAAATGTATTTTTGTTTTGAAACTTTCCTATCTAGGGTAAATATCATACGATATAAAAGCACTTTATAAAGTTGTGTTACAGCAGAACACAATGGTATACAATACAGGTTATTATACAGAGTACATGAAATACCAAGGTAGAAAAGAAACAAACAGCAAGAATTTGCATGAAACTCACATAGACTCAATTCAGATTTGCAATTCTAGTATCCAGTCAAAGATCACAACTATCACACACACACACAAGACAGGTTACGAAAGAGAGACTGTGTGGCCCATCTTGTCTGTACAGAGGCAAGCACTTTACAGATCATCAGAACTTTGTCCACCTTCAGCTTCTGCTTGTGGATTGTGTGTGTGTAGGCTCTCCTACCCACACTGTGGCAACTGCTTTGCAAAGCTAATGATAGGTTTGCATGAAAGACTGCAGAGGTGTGGACCCAAAGCATAAAAACTCCCTTATCTGAGACATCTTTCTGATAAAATCTGTTTAAAAAAACGTATATATTTGAAAGCAAATCAGAATAGGACAGAGATACAGAATGGCTCGGTTGAATAGGTTATTATTAGTATCATTTTTATTCTTGTTGTTACTGCAAGGAGATTCACTGTCTACTTGTCCAAATGTGGCTTTTCAAAATGCGAGCTAAGCTTGTACAGTACCTTTCTCAGACCAAACACTGAGCCATATATATGACACTACCTATACTTTCACCTTGGCTGACTCACCTCGGGGGGGCCTTAAATTAGATACAGTATATTAACATTACAGCACGATGTTCTCTGTCCTCGGTCAACAAAACTCTCTTGGTCATAACCCGTCTAAGAGGCCTGTCACACAGATACTCACAACAACTGCTCCTTCATTTACTGTGGAGGGATTCCCCCCCTCTGTAAGCCTACTGACGAGTATAAAAGAACATTACTGACAAGGTGACTTAAATCGGATACCATAATGCACATCTTAGCCTGGCTCACGTACCTAGAAATGTTTGTGGATTCCTTGCTGCAATTATATGTTCATTTTCTCTTCACAGTTTTGGTAGTCATTCAATGTCAAGGTAAAACAGGTTAGAATTTGTCATCAATTTCTTTAATGATTAGTGTCTTAAGAAATAACGATGTACAGTTTTTGTGTGTGTGGATACACTACTGAGTTTGGTTTTAACAGCTGGGCTCTTGAACTTCTGGGGCCTCCTGTCTTCTGGTTTTGGCTCCAACCTGAGTAGTGAATTAAACAATTAGCCTCATTATTTTCTAAACAGGATATGTGTATAGAATTTTTTTAAGGTCTTTTACAAGGTACCAGACATCTACTTAATAAAAAGGTGCAGTTCCTTATAAATAACCTTGGAGGCTGATTAGAACTATTACATTTATGCAACTAATTAAATAATTTGAACCACCGCAACTGAGAATGTGGTTGAAACAAAAAGGAGAAGACCAAGGGTCACTTAGCAGCTGAGCTTGAGACTTCTGCCTTGTGGGCACCAATATGTTTCTGCAACTGCACTTTCTATAATTAAAATAAATGAGATATAAAAGAGCAGTACTTCACATATATTGTATCAACAATAAAACAACTATGATCAATTATGCCTCTTACCCCAAACAAAATTGATTTTATTTTGCAGAACCGAAAACTAACATACTAATTACGACCTAGGTTAACCCCTTTTGAAACATTAAGAAACCGCTAGTGTTGAATGGAAAAATGTAAAACTGTTGTAGGTCTTACTTCCCCAGACGTGGGGGAGGTTACAACACACAGCTATTCTTTTGACGGAAAATGACTTAGCTCTGGCTACTCACAAACATAACTGCATTGCTCCTAAATACTGTGCACGGCAAAGATAACGTCGTTTACAAAATGAATGCACTGTAGCAAGACAAAGACATACTGTACAGGAAAAATCGTCTAAATTAGGGAAACCCTAACGCACTTTCACTTCTAATTGTCAGCGAATCCAGCCAATGTGTAATTTGCCGTTTAAAACCACATTTAATTCAAATGTTCAGCTTATCGGGCATAGTGCGAGGGGCTGCCCGGCACCTAATTTGAACTGCGAGACTGGCTGACAGTGACACTGCGTCACATCGAACAATTTTGGACCAGTGACCCAGTATCAAATAGCTTTTGCTGCATGAAAACACACATGAGCTACACCGCATGAGATAGACCTAGCATCGGTAAAGGGAAAGGAGAGGTATATCTGTGCATCCTCATCCGCCCCTCCTATTTCCTGCTGGAACTGTTGTGTGTATGTATTTAACCCTACTGAACTGTCAATTGATACATGAAGGAAGAAAGTGGACTCTCAGCTGTCACTCCCGTAGGCATCACTTATAGAATATATAGGAACTGCGGAGCACCGATTGCCAAAAGTGCGTGATGGATTAATTATAAAGGCGGCGGAATCGGCCACTTGGAATTGTTCACGCTTATTTTCCTGCTGCACCATCGGCGCTGCTTCAAACTCAAGGGGACAACCTCAGCGGCTCCTGCCCGGTACCAGAGCGCTTTTGTCCGGCCAGGGAAGCCCCCCTTGTAGCCCTTGACGGCCATGGCTTTAGTAACGCTGCAGCGCTCACCTACCCCTAGCGCCGCTTCCACTGCGAGCACCGCCACCACCAACGCGGGGGAGGTGAGTGAGATACTATAAGGGGCGGAGGGAAAGGGTTACGTGGGACGTGCTGATAAGGACACACCGAGGATGTGCAGGAGTCGTGTAGGCCTAATAGTCAGAGGGAAAAGGGTCTTGGTTGGGCTGTGTTTATTACCTTACTACTGTGCCGTTTTAGTGGTATAGTATATGCCACCTAAACGGTGTATTGCTGGGTTTTTTTTAAATAAAAATCTTGTTTTTATTATAGGGACTGGCCAGGAAAAAATGTCTTCAAATACCGGTTTGGCATTGCTTGTTAGATTGGTGTTTGTATCTAAAAACGGAATGACAGAAACAGACTGGAAATCCGTGCGCCAGTTCAGAAGACAATCGGGGGAAAAAAACTGAATTAAGCAGACGCGTAATGGCAAAATAACCTTAATAACATCAGTAGCTTCTGATTGTGAGCTACTGTTTATTATTCCGACAAACTGGCCTGTGTTGTGAAAAACCGGGATGGGAGATGAGTAAATAGGACACTGACGTTATTTTAACTAATTAAGCCACGGTAAATAACACCCCTGTAGGTTCTAATGCACCCTGAGCTTTTTTTCTTTACATTTTTCTTTGCATGTCGTTATCCATGCAGGCTACTTTGATGCAAATTGCATGCTTATCCGATCCCTGTCTCGGTGATTTTTGGCATTGCAAGTGACAAGCTGGCTCGATTTAAAATTCAGTAAAAATACATACAGAATTGGAAAAACAACATTGCATTTACGCGTTTACGTATGCTCAAGGGAGATTTCGTGTGTTTAAGCAACAAGACGTTTGAGGGGGAAGCTTACTGTTATTTGCTTTAAGTTTTATTGTTTTAAAAAATCCGAAAACAGTTTACCCCATGCAAGGTAACCTTGTTTCATAATGCTGTACTTCAGATCACAAGGCCTCTGATACCTATTGTCCAGACGTTTTATCGTCCATTATTTAGCAATTGTCTGAAGTCAACCCAGTTCACTAAAAATGTGTTCAGGCTTTGTCTTGTTCTTAATGTTTATAACTGTAGTATCAACTTTAGTTTCGAGCCACAGCATTTGCTTTAAAAAGTCCTATCATTTTATTTTTTATTGTTGGGTTTTAGTTGCCTTTTAGTCATTATTAGCGATCAGATCTAACAATATTTAGACAGATATTTTTATTTTTTTCGGAACTGCTAAGAAACGAGAAGTTCCTAAGAAGTGACTTATATGAATAACGTCCCTGTGGGTATTTTTTTTTTCTTGGCGGAAGTATAAGGTTTGATTTGTTCATTTTGATATTTTCTTTTCTTTTTGCACCTAGAGATGTTGTTAATTTCACTTGATACTTCTGCTTAATTACACAAGTATCCAGGAAGCCACATAGAATATTTAAAAAGTCAGACTAAAGGTAGAGAATTGAAGATCTGTACCAGCTGATATTTAATTCAGGCTCTCATGTTATTATGGGACATATAGCAGAGCATCACAGATAGGGGCTTATTATCCAGAATAAAACCGGTTTATATTTGGAGAAATCTACATTAAGGCTCTGGTGTATATGTATTTGGAATGTGCAAAGTTTTCAGATTTACAGTCTTGTGTTTATTTAAGGGAACCGATGAGCACTGCAAACATTATTTCTCAAGAAACAAATATGATTTGAATAGAATGTTACTAGAGGGAGCAACACCATTTTAAAGCGATTGGAAACATCTTTATGGGGAGCTTGTTAAATGTCAGATTTAAAAAAAAAAGAGTAATAGGAAACTTCCTTACAGTGCGTTTCTGCTTTCCTACCTCAGCTCCCATTAGAAATGATGTCATACTGGTTCTAGTTAAGAGACATTTACAGATAGTTCGGGAAAACGTTTTGCCTGGAAGCCATACATAAGAGTGGAGTTTCAGCTTTCAGCTGAAACCTGTGTGTGGGCAATAGACTGTTTTCTCTTTTCATCTTTTCATTTATTCTGCGGGCCAGCCCTGGTCCAGTGTAGCCACAGTCCAGCAGGATTGGAGCAATGGACCACACTTGGAATGCTTTTGTTTAAGTCACTCATGCACGTGATACCTATAATTAAATAGGAGAGGTGACGTAAGCATGAAATAACCAC